AAGGTCATGCATACTACAGCTGTAAAGTGTCCTGATAGCCATGTTCTTTGAGTGACTACTGCATTTTTACTGAGGTTTCCTTTTTTTCCCTAAAAATCACAAACTACCAGAATTTTGCTATTTGAAATCATATTAGTAAGAATAAAACATCCCACTATTGCCTGGAAGAGCTAAGTCACTTTGATGCCGAGAAGCAGCTCAGATAAGGAATTTCTGGACTCAACATTCCACATTTCTCTTAACTTTGCAGTTTCAAAGGAAACAGCACTCAGGGTCCACTTTGCTGTCTAGACCCTATACACACAGGCCTGCAATGCTTTGAGCCTATCCAAATACTGCTTTGTTTACTTCACCTTCCCCCAAATCCTTTGATCATCCTTGACTTTTTTGGTTAGCGCCCCATAGTTCCCCTCCTGGGTGGTCTTCCTCATTGCAATGGGTCAACAAGGCTGACTTGATTTGTTCCTGATGGATTTAGGCTGATTGGACCAGAACATAGCCCACACCTGTAATCCTAGCAATTTGGGAGGCCGAAATGGAAGGATCATTTGTGTCCAGGAGTTAGAGACCAGCCTGGGCAATAACAAGACCACTTCTCTACAAAGAACTTAAACATTAGCCAGTTCTGGGGAAGCTGAGTTGGGAGATTCACTTGAGCTCAGGAGTTGGAGGCTGCAGTAAGTAATGATGACATCACTGCACTGTAGCCTGGGCAACAGAGTGAGACCCTGTCTCAAAGAATGAATATAACAAATATACAACTCTATGGTTATATATGAAATACCCGTATTAGTGATTAAAAATGTACATCTACTAAAATCTTATTTTAGAGAGATCTTGACATGGAAAGATGTTTATACTGAATTTTTTTTTTTAGTAGAGACAGGGTCTCACTCTTGCTCAGGATGCTCTCAAACTCCCGACCTCAAGGGATCCTCCTGCCTCAGCCTCACCAGAGTGCTAGGATTACAGGCATGAGCCACTGTGGCTGGCCTTGAATCTTAAGCTTAAAAAAGACATAATGCATTGTTGACTGTACAAAAAATTAGAAAATACAGATGTTTTATGGAGGAAGGAGGATGAGGCAGAGGAGAAAAGGAGGAAGAGGAGAAAGAGAAAACAAACAAAAAGAAAATCATCAAAAGTCCCATAAGCTAGAGCCACAGCTCTCAAAGTGTATTCCCTGGATGCATGGCAGTCTCCAAGACCCTTTTGGGGGTCTGTGAGTTCAAAATTACTTTCAAAGTAATATTAAGACACTATTTGCCTTTTTCACTGGGAATTTGCACTGATGATGCCAAGCAGTGGTGTCTAAGACTGTTGGTGCCTTAGCTTGAATCAAGGCAGTGGCACCAAACTGTACTAAATAAGAAAAAAACCTTTTATCTGAGGAACTCGGGCCCCTTTATCAGGCCCTTCTAGTTATTTAAAATATAACAGGTACCTTCTTTAAATACCTTCTAGGTATTTAAAATATAACAGCAGTCAAGCCTCACTCTCCCTTGAGCTAAATACTTACCTCTTGAAGCTACCTGCTATATGGGTTCTAGACTAATTGAGGCCAAGTAACCATAAAATGCCATACACCCTGTAGTCTAACAATGTATGGCCAATCACTAAGCAATGTTATTTCTGTAAGCCAATGAGAACTCCTGACAAACAACTTTTGAAATCACCCCCTTTCCCCATGAGTCCTTTTTTTTTCTTTAAAAACTTGAGCCAGTCTCTTATTCTCTGGAGCACTACTCAAGGCAACTTGGAAGTGTGTCCTGGGCTGCAGTCCTCAACCTTAGTGCTTGAATAAATGCTCTTTAAACTACATTTTGACCCTTTTGATTATTTTAGGTTGACATATAGTCACTATATTCTTTTTTTTTTGAGACAGAGTCTCACTCTGTTGCCTGTGCTAGAGTGAGTCACTATGTTCTTGACACGCCCCATGTACCCAGAGGGGAGGAAAGCTGGTTTCATTTAACAATGTCCTAAAGTAACAAAAATTAATTTATTAAATCTCAACAACAAAAAATGATTGTCCGACAGACCTAGACTCCAATCTGTGTGGCCTTTGGCAAGTCACCTAACTTTTCCAAGCCTGTATTTTTATAAAATGAGAGTATAATACTTTGCTTATAGGTTTCTTTTCTCTTTTTATTTATTTTTTCTGGCTTTATTGGGATATAGTTGACAAAAAGGATCTGGATCCCAGCTAAGAAAAAGAAAACATACCTGTATGTGCCACAAGACATATTGGGAAATATGGGACAATTCCATGACAAGATCTGAGTTATCCTGTCTGACAGCCTTCCTTTCTCTCCCCTGTGCTCCCTCCCTGTTCAGGCACTGGCTATCCTGACCAGGACCCCTGGAGGGGACACACTGGATTCCTTGTGGCAGGTTCCAGGAGAACTGCCCAGACTTACCCTTGGAGCTGCTTTGAATCTACAGGATATTTTGTGGAGCTCTTGATCCAACTCCAAAGTAAATACTGGGCCCAGTTTCCTCTCCTTTGTGTGAAGGCTGGAGGTGGCCAAGGAAAGGAAACTGGCAGGGAAACAGTGGAAAAGACAATGCCTCCAGGTCCTGGAGGCCAGAAATGGCTGAGCTAGAAGGACATGGCCTTGGTGTCAGATCAACCAGGGCTCAGACTTAGAACATGCAACTTACCTTCATATACACTAGACATATTATCTTCTCTCTCTGCCTCAGTTTTCTTATCTCTAGTGGGATCATAACAAGCCCCACGTGCAGGAGGGTTTCTATGAAGATTAAAGTAGATCAAGTAACTGGCCCACAGTCTGCATTCATGGAACAGATTCTGACTCAAGCTATATCCACCAAGTGCCCACTACATACCAAGCAATGGATATATACCTTTCTCAATTAGTCTTCAGAACAACTACATCATCCCCAGCTTGCTAATGAACAGACACGCTCAAAGGGGACAATGGATTACCCTAGGGTCACAGTAGTCAGTGGCCAAGTCACCTTCCTCTGCTACATACTGCCATTCTGGGAGTGCTTCCCTTCCCACTGTTCTCACTGATATATGCTATCAGGGACTTGCAAATTAAAATGACCAGATATCACCAAACACCTGTGGGAATGGCTAAAGTTTAAAGTATTGACAATACTAATTGCTGATGAAGAAGGGGAACCCTCATTCATTGCTGATGAGAATGCAAACTGGTACAGCCAACTTTGGAAGACAGTTTGGCAGTTTCTTTCAAAGCAAAATATAGTCTTACTATCAGATCTTGTAATTATTCTTAAATAAATAACCCTGTGCTCTGGGAGTTCTACTGGTTTGACACTGATTTTAAGCAACTTGTGGAGGATGAGTGTCTTCTGGGGAATTAGAGTAAAAAAAAGAACCACATTTTAACCAATTGCTCAGATACTCACATGTCCATGTTAATTGTCCTTAGGAGAAACTAAAATTTTAACATCATCTTTTTTGATAGTTTATCAAATATGATAGTTGGTTTCAATTTTGGCAATCAGTCCATCCATACTAATATTATGCTTCTTTTTGAAAGTTAGATAAATAAAAATGTGATTTTTAAAAATACATGATATTGAGAGGCATAGAGTAAGACAGTCCAACATAAGTCTAAAGGAAGTTACAGAAGAAGAAAATGGTAAAAATGAAGAAGAGATAAATATTCGAAAAGATAATGACTGAGAATTTTCCAGAATTGAGGAAAGACATCAATCTTCAGAGTGAGGAATCCCAATGACTCTCAAACCAGATAAATAAAAAGAAATCCAAACCTAGATATATCATAACAAAACTGAAAATATTAAAAAGACTATCATAAAACAACAACAAAAAAAGACAGTATCTACAAAGAGACAATTCTGACAGATAACTTCTCAACAATCGAAATGATAATTGAAGCCAGAACACACTAGAATTATATTTTCATTGTGTTGGCAGAATATACTAGCCACCTGGAATTCTATGCCCAGTGAAACTATTGCTCAAAAATAAAAATTAAAGCCAGGTGTAGTGCCTCACGCCTGTAATCCTAGCACTTTGGGAGTCCAAGGTGTAAAGTTCGCTTGAGGCCAGGAGTTTGAAACCAGCCTGGACAACATAGCAAGACTCTGAGACAATGTCTCTACCAAAAAATTTTTTTAAATTAGCCAGGCACAGTGGCATGCGCCTGCCTGTAGTCCCAGCTAGTGGAAGGCTGAGGCAGGAGAATTGCTTGAGCCTAGGAGTTTGAGGCTGCAGTGAGCTATGATGACACCACTGTACTCTAGCCTGTGCAACAAAGCAAGACCCTATCTCAAAAAAAATTTTTTTTAATTAAATGAATAGTAAAATAAAGATATTTTCAGACAATCAAAAACGTGGAGTTTAATTGCAACACAATCTTACTCCAGAAGAAAGAAAATGATCCTAGAAGGAAAGTCTAAGATGTGAGAAAGATGGGGAGCAAAGAAAATAGCAAGTCTGAGGATAAATATAAACAAATACTGAGTACATAAAACAATACCACTATTGTAGAAGGTATTTGGATCAAGATAAAAGTAATATTTGAGAAAAATAGAAAAAAAAGAATTAAAAAAACTAAAAAAGGTAAAGTTTTAAAAAATTTTTTAATAATTAAAAAAATAAAAAAGATAAAAGTAAAATGTGACAGTTGTATATAAGTCTAGAGGGAACAGATGGAGTCTAAGTATATTAAGATCTTTATATTGTTGCTGAGGACAGTAAAGATAATGATCAACTTTAGGGATTGCTAAATCAAATGCATGACTTAAAATGTTTTGATAGTCATTAAAAGAACAGAAATAGAGTACATAATTTATAAACTAGTAGAGGGGAAAAATGGAATTGGTGTGTGGAGAATTTAAGCCAAAAGAAAATAACAAAGAAGGCAAGGGAGAAACCCAGAAAATTCGAAGACATAGAAGATCCAAATATATCATCCATCACAATCCATGTACATGAATTAAACTGTCCAGTTAAAGGGAAAAAAATGATCAGACTGTTTTGTTTTTCCAAAAGAACAACGAAACATTTATTTTTAAATCTGAGAATTGTGGGAAACCTAAGTAGTGGTAATTGGACCCTCATCGGGGTCTTCTGGGAAATTGGAAGCACCACCCTCTGGTGCAGCTCGATACTTCTCCAGTTTAGCAATCAATTCTTTCGCTGGATTGAAGACGCCATTGGTCTGCTGGTCACAGACATAGCAGCGCAGGGTGGTGCGGAAATGCTGCAGTGCGCAGCTCTCGCAGAAATAATGCCTGCATTTGGTGACAACTAGGTTTTGGAAGGTCTGGGGACAGATGCAACACTTGAGTGGTATTTCCTCATCATGGCTTCCCACTTCATAGTTTTCATCCTCATAGACACCATAGCGACCCTCATCAAGCTCACGTTCGATCTGCCACCCATGCTTGTAATCTGAACGGTCATGGAGAAATTTGCAGCTGTCGCCGAAGCCACAGAAGCCAGTCTCTTTGTAGTCCTTACAGATATCGGGCTGGTAATCCCAGCGCACGGTGGCACGTAGATGCTCCGGAGCTCGGATGGGGCCCTTCCTCACCAACCCGGAGGAAGCATTGCCCATAGACGTATCTTTGGGCTTCATGTATTTCTGATAATTATTGATTCCCCGATAGATCTTGTCATCCTCCTTGCCCCTCAGCTCCTCCTGGATTTTCTGGCTGCGCTCAAAGATAGCCTGTGCGTCACGCTCCTTCTCTGTGTCCAGCTCGTATGCAGATGTCGCCCCCATATCCTCTGGCCCCACGGGTTTCGCCGAGCGGGTGGACTTATAAACCATGCCGAGACTCTCGGGCTCATTCTCTTCCTCCTCGCTACTCAGGTCGCGGTAAGCCGCCTTCCGTTTACCACTGCCGCGGGTCTTCTGTATCATCGGATTGTGGGTCGCCCGCTTCTTCTCGGGTCGGACCACAGAGCTGCCTTCATCGCTACTGCCGCCGCTTTCTCCCGGCTCTGGGGCGCTTGCCGGGCGCTTCCTGCGGCCTGCAGCGCCTTTCCGCCCAAGCTTTTTAAAGAGGAAGGTGCACACCTGGTCTGCAGTCTTTCCTGGAGAAAGTTGCTCTGCCATGTGAGAGGCTGAGCTTGAGAACGGCTGTGGCGGCTGGGTGGCACGGGGCCTTCTCCGCTTCACGTTGTGCGATCAGCTATGAGCCGAAGCAAAAAGAGGCTGATGAAAGAGCTAGACTGGTTTTTAAAAATATCCAGCTATATTCTGTTTTCAAGAGACATGCCTATAACATAAGGATACAAAAAGGAAAAGATATAACAGATAAATACCAACCAAAACAGTTTGGTTGAGCTATATTAACATCAGATCAAATAGTTTAGGTAAAAAGCATTAATTCAGATAAAGAAGATATGTCAGACTACATTTTCAAAGATGGCAGTAACAATATCCACTGTCCCACCATGGTCTTCTATAATTTTTGTCATTCATGCATGATGAAAGGAATCTAATTTTCCTCCCTTTGAATCTAGGCAGGTTTGTGATATGCTTGTAAGTGGCAGAATGCAGACGTGATATGTGACTCTAGCAAAGAAGGCAATTCCAACTTCTACCTTGCTCTCTGGAACACTCAAGCTGGAGTCCTGAGCTGTCATGTAAGCAGCCCAACTGCTCTAAGGTAGCCATACTGTGAAGAAGCTCAAACTGACCCACAAAGGTAATCTACATGGACAAGCGCTGAGATTACCAGAAGAGAGATGTCCAGCCATCCCCCAGCTTTTCTAACCCCGCACTATTCCAGATGTTATTGCATAAAAGACCTCAAGACAGAACCACTCAACTGAGCACATTCCCAAATTTTAACCCACAGAAACCATGATATAATAAAACTATTCTTATTTTAAGCTATTATGTTTTGGGAATGATTTGTTATGCAACCATAGTGACTGGAACAGAGGGTTACTATATATTTACAAAAGATTCAATTCACTAAGAAGATTTAACCATTTTAAACCTAATAATACAGCTATAAAATAGAAATTGAATTTTGATAAAACTACAAGGAGAATTTACAAACCCACTATCAGACTGGGAAATTTTAACTCATCTTTCTTAGTAACCAATAGATCAAACAGATAAAATATTAATATAACAATACAATATGCAAAGATGTTCATAGTGGTACTATTGATAATCAGCAAAAACTAGAAACTACTTGTGTGGTAAAAAAAAAAAAATTTAACCTTGCCCAAAGAGAGGTCCGGACTTGGCTCTCAGTTTCTGGGAGGTAATCTCTAAGCCCCTGGAATGTCATGGCTGATAGAAGTGATTATCTTTGCCTGGAGGTCGGGCCAGCCAAGTAGTAATAATATGATTTAAGGTGGGGATTTTGGTTCACCTGGTATCAGCACAATCTCTTGAGGGCTGGAAGTTGGTATCAACCACAGGCGCAGTCAACCTTGCCTATGTGATGGAGCCCCAATAAAGACTCTGAACACTGAGACTCAGGTGAGTGTCCCCAGTTGGCAATAGCAAGTGCATACTGTCACACATTGATGCCAGGAAAGTGATGCTGCCCTGACTCCACAAGAAGAGCATGACTGGAAACTCCACATTTGGTACTCTCCTAAACTCTGCCCTCTGTCTCTTTTCCCTTGGCTAATTTTAATCTGTATTCTTTCCCTGTAATACCTGTAACTGTGAGTTATAAAGCTTTCATTGAGTTCTGTGAATCCCTCTAATAAATTACCAAACCTGAGGGCAGTCTTTGGAAGCCCTGAACTTGTAATTGGAGTCAGAAGTGAGGGTAGTCTTTTGAGTTGCTCCCTACCTTTGCACTTGGTGAATTTTTGCACTACCCAATCCCCACCATTAATAGAATGGATAAATTATGATATATTCCGTACAGCAATGAGAATGAACATTCACACAAAAATATGAATGAATTTCACAAACATAATGTTGAGTGAAAGAAGCCAGACACAAAAGAAAGCATACTGTGTGGGAGAAATATTAATAAAATTTCCCTGGAAGTACTCCTGGAAAAAGCCCTAACCTCCTAAAATGTGGAAATTTACAGGATATAAAGATAGGGGATATTTGCTATCACTTCCCCTAGAAATATTTTACTTCTCGCACACCATGATACTTTAATCTGTAGACATTGGTCAAGTAAAATTGTCTTTTCCAAAAGGATAATAAAACTTATCTCCCTAAGAAAACCAAATGGTTACAACCCAGACTAGGCCTGTGGGTTAAGTTCCCAAGGTTCAAGGAGGACTGAGTGTTATCTCCCCAGGTATTTACCTATCAGAAGAGATGAAGTCCAGACTTCTTTAGGTCATAAAGCCAAAGACACTGGGGCTTATCCAGCTTCTGAAGGAATGTATTTATAATTCTAACAGGTTAGGGTAAGAACTAAGATCCTTTCTATTCTCTCTCCAGGGAGCAGAGGTTTTTCTCCCTCCTTTTGAGGGGGGAGGAGAAGGCAAATGCTCCTCTCCTTTACATATAAATGGAGCAAATCCATTGTTATCCATGTGCCATTTATGGGGTATAACCTAGCACTCAGGTGGAAAGTTTCAATCCCTCTCTCTTTGCATTGCCTGTCACCGATACAATGATTATACTCTGGCTATCAATCTGGTGGTATCAAGAAAGAACTCTTACCTTTGACCTAGAGGCTTCATGTTTCTGCAGTATTCAGGTATAAAAATACAAATCGGTGTGAGTGGGGTAACATTTCAGACCCTTCACAGTTCTGAACAAAACATGCTATGAGATTTAATTCATAGGAAGTTCAAAGATAGGCAAAACTAATGCAGGATGTAGGAATTCAGTTTAGTGATTCTCTTTGAGGGGTAGGAAGTAGAAGGTAGCACAGTGTAGGGCATTTGGGTGCCTCTCATGTTCTGTTTCCTGATCTGGGTGTTGGTTACATGAGTATGTTCAGTTTGTGAAAAATCATCGAACTCCAAGTCTATGACTGGAGTTAAATTCATGTCCTCCAAGAAGCAGATGCCAAAATGGGACTGGATGTACAAAGGATTGATTAGGGGGAAAATACGGGAGGCCAGGAGACCCATCAGACTGTGGTACAGGTCTAACCCCTGTGAAGGAGAGAGTGAAGGAAGGTTTTAGACTGCTGTGCAGCTCTAAGTTTCTTTTTTTTTTTCTTTTTTTGAGACAGAGTCTCACTCTGTTGCCCTGGCTAGAGTGCTGTGGCATCAGCCTAGCTCACAGCAACCTCAAACTCCTGGGCTCAAGCAATACTTCGGCCTCAGCCTTCCCAGTAGCTGGGACTACAGGCATGCGCCACCATGCCTGGGTAATTTTTTCTATATATTTTTACTTGGACAATTAATTTCTTTCAATTTTTAGTAGAGACGCGATCTCACTCTTGCTCAGGCTGGTTTCGAACTCCTAACCTTGAGTGATCCGCCCATCTCGGCCTCCCAGAGTGCTAGGATTACAGGCATAAGCCACCATGCCTGGCCTCTAAGAAAGTTTCAACAAGGCAGATGTTGAGTACTCAAGCCAAAGTCACCCAACAGAGGAGTCCTGCATCTCCAAGGAACAGGTCTGCTTAGTAATCCCTCCTGTGTTCAGTTATCAGCTGCAAGCAGCTCATGAGAAGTATATATAGTCTTGGCATGAATATGGTGAGGGATCTCAGAGCATAGCAGCTGGGGCCATTGGGCAGTTGTGCCTCCCCCAGGAGGAGATCTGAGAGGCCCAACTGTGGCTACCTCAGCCCACCCCTTGCACCACATCTACTTCTCCACACAAGTTTGGGGAGCAGCTCCATGGCCTCTCATCCTGAGTGGAACCCTGGAAAAGGGAAAGTTGGAGGGATAAACTGCAACCTCCATTGCTGCCATTGATCTTGGGGCTGTGACTGGTATTCATCCTTTCTGTCCTCTACCTTCCATTCTAAATTTACTGACTCTTGGCTCCTGCCTTAGCAGCTCTTGATGGCTTACCTGATGGTGTAATCCAAACCTCATTCTTGATGGCCCTGAATCCTTGATATTCCAATCTTTTCCACGACAGGAGTATTTCATGTGTCTGTTCACCGTTGCAATGAGCAATGGAGTAGCAGGAGGCATCCATTCATATCTCTTTGGTTCCACACATATTGCCTCTGTCCTCATTGTGTAAAAGCAGCCCTGTCTCTTCCTGCTGGCCAGGGTCAATCATTCCTGCCAGCACAGTGACTCCTCTTCAAACCTGCTGGTCCCTGGGCACAAGGAGGTCAAAGCACCCAGGTAGCAGCCATAATTTGTAGTTCACTGGGACCTTTTCTTTGTCCCCTGGAAAAATCGTGTCCTCTTTGGGGACCAGGATCTCCAACCTTGCAGAGCCCAGAGCTGCAGAAATGGGAAGCATGATATCCACCCAGGTGGTCAATGGGAGCAAATGGTATGGCATCCCATTGTTTCAGAGTATTGTCTCCAAGCTGGCATTTCAGTTATGTCTTTGGAAGGCTGTTCTAGTATTCTGTGATGCTGGCTGCCTCTGGATGGTGTGGTATGTAATATGACCATTGGATCCCATGGCCATGGGCCCACTCCTACACCTCCTTAGGTATAAAATGGATCCTCTGGTTGAATACTATGGTATGTAAATAAGGCATTCCATAAGCTGCTGGATAGTGGTGCTGGCTGAGACACTGCAGGCACAAAAAGGCAAACCCATACCCAGAGTAGGTATCTAGCCCTGTGAGGACAAACCAGTGACCTTTGCAGAACAGAAGGTTTCCAATTGTGGCTGAATTGCCATCAAGTGGCCAACTGGTCTCCTCAGGATATAATGCCATATTGGGAGCTTGGTGTTTGCTCTGTTGCTCTTACTCTTATGTCTATCCACATGCCTTTAGCCCAGACCTCCTTGTTTCTACATTCTAGTTCTTTTCCTTCCATACCCCTGACCAGACAGACAGACCACTGCCCATTCCCCATAAATCTATATGTATTCTCACCTTGGGCCACTTTTTCTTCTACACAAAACAGATGACTGCTTGCAGCTCCACCCATTGGAAGATTTTCCATTTCCACTGTCTTTTAACACCATCCCTGAAAGTGGCTATAATGTAGCTGTGGTCTAGTTTTGACTTCCATCTATGTCCTGAGCCAACCCATCCATAAACCTAGCTTGAGTCTTTTCCTCTTCCTTCAGCTAGATTAAGGGACCACCATACAGCCTTGGGAGCAAACTGGGCGGGGATTCTGGTGCGAATGTTGCCTGTGATGGTGGTCTCTGGGCCACCTGCTCATGCAGCTTCCTTGTGCCCTGTGGTCCCATGAGGGTTTGATTATACTTACAGTGAACTGCTGGTGGGCCCATCTAATTTTATTCCTTGGTGGGTTCAAAAGAACCCAACTTATAATTGGCAACTCTGAACTTGGTCACTTGGTGCCCAAGGATCAAGCGTTCTCTCTCTACCAGGGCCCAGTAACGAGCTAGAAACTTATTTCTCACAAGGTATATAATTCTATGCAGGGGATGACATGACCTTGTGCCAGAATTCCAGGGGTTTCATTGTGATTCTCCCACTGGTGCTTGTCATAAGCTCCATACTGTATCTTTCCTACCACTGATTCTTTCAACATCAGAGGATCTGCTGGATCCTATGGTCCTAGTGGTGCACTGCTTTCTCTGCAGCCAGGATGTGCTGCAGTGTCCTTTCTTTACTTGTCCTGACCAGCATGAAATTAATTTAACAGATACGTGTGGTGTTCTACGGGTTGTCCAAGTGATCTGGATCTCTTCAGACTAACTATGAGAAGGCAGGGGAGTTAATATAGCCCTGATGTAAAACTCTAAATAAATATTGTTGTTGGGTGTGGATAGGGGCAGAAAAAAAAAAGAAAAAATATATGAGGTGAACAAAAATGAAAAAAGAAACAACCCAACATACAAAAACTTGTTGAGTGCAGCTAAAGTAGTCTTCAAAGGGAAATTTATAGCTGTAAATAGTAATACTCACATAAAAAAAATAAAATCTCAAATCAATAACCTGAATTTACATCTTAAGGAACATGAAACTAAGAGCAAACTAAACCCAAAGCTAGCATAAGGAAGGCAATAATAAAGATTAGATCTGAAATAAACAAAATAGAAAAATAGATAAAATCAATGAAAACAAAAGTTGGTTCTTTGAAAAGATCAATAAATTGACAATAAATTAAACATACTTATAGCAAGAAAAAGATTGAATAGGTAATCAAAAAACCTCTTAACAATGAAAAATCTAGAACCAGTTGACTTCATTGGTAAATTCTACCAAACATTTAAAGAATTAATACCAATCCTTCTCAAACTCTTCCAAAAAAATAGAAGAGGAGAGAACACTTTCTAACTCCTTCTGTGAGGCCAATATTATCCAGATACCAAAGCCAGACAAAGGAAACACAAGAAAAGAAACTACAGACCAACATCTGTATGAATAGAGAGGCAGAACCCCTCAACAAACTACTAGTAAACCAAGACATGAACAGAAAAAGGGGCAAAACCCACATCATCATCTTAAATGATGCAGAAAAAGCAGTTGACAAAAACCCCTCACCATTTCATGCTAAAAACACTCAGTGAACTAAAGAAGAGAACTTCCTCAACATGATAAAAGTGCTAATATCATATTTGATGGTGAAAGAATGAAAGCTCTCACCCTAAGATCAGGAACAAAACAAGGATGCTTGCTTTCACCACAGCTATTGTACTAGACATTGAAGCCAAAGCAATTAGGCAAGCAAAAGAAATAAAAGGCATCCAAATTGGAAAGAAAGGGTAAAAAGTATCTCTACATGGAAAATCCAAAGAATACATGCATGCGCACACATACACATACCCTAGTAAAGTTAATAAGTGAATTCAGCAAAATTACAGAGTACAAGATCAATACACAAAAATCAGCTGTTTCTATATTCCAGCAATGAACAATACAAAAAGGAAATCGAGAAAACAATTTCATCTATAATAGCATCTAAAAGAATAAAATAGTTAAGAATGAATTTAATCAAGGAGGCATAAGACTTGTACACTGGAAGACTTAGACACTGAAAATGGCAAAACAGGGCTGGGCACAGTGGCTCATGCCTGTAATTCTAAGCACTCTGGGAGGCCCAGGCAGGCAGATCGCTCGAGGTCAGGAGTTTGAAACCAGCCTGAGCAAGAGTGAGACCCCCGTCTCTATTAAAAATAGAAAGAAATTAATTGGCCAACTAAAAATATATATAGAAAAAATTAGCTGGACATGGTGGCACATGCCTGTAGTCCCAGCTACTCGGGAGGCTGAGGCAGTAGGATCTCTTGAGCCCAGGAGATTGAGGTTGCTGTGAGCTAGGCTGATGCCACAGCACTGTAGCCTAGGCAGCAGAGTGAGACTCTGTCTCAAAAAAAAAAAAAAAGAAAAGAAAAAGAAAAAGAAAAGAAAATGGCAAAACATTGCTGAATGAAATTAAAGAAAACCTAAATAAATGGAAAGACATCTGTATTCATGGATCAGAAAATTTAATATTGTTAACATGGCAATACTATCCAAAATGATCTACAGATTCAACGCAACCCCTATCAAAATTTCAATGGCCTTTTTTTTTTTTTTTACAGAAACAAAAGAGCTTATCTTCAATTCATACGGAATTGAAAGGGGCCCTTAACGGTCAAAACAATAGTGAACAGGAAGAATAAAGTTGGAGGACTCACACTTCCTGATTTCAAAACTTCCTGCAAAGTTACTGTGATCAAAACAGTTTGATGCTGGCATAAGAACAGACATACAGACCGATGGAATAGAGTTGAGAGACGAGAAATAAAACTTCACATATATGGTCAATTGATTTTTGACAAGCTACTTGTATCATCATCTCCCTGCTCCAACACACTGTCTTCAATGAGGCTGTTTCACATATTTGTAAAATTGTCAAATAGTTTTGTCACATTCTGAATCTCATCCTGGGATTACAGCAACATTGAAGTAATTTTCCATTAATTTGCATACATTGATTCACTCTTTATGCTGTGATATCAAATTCACAGTGTCATGTACCCACCAGTACAGGATCATACAGAATAGTCTCACCACCCTAAGAAAACCCTGTGCTTGGCCGGGCGCTGTGGCTCACGCCTGTAATCCTAGCTCTTGGGAGGCCGAGGCGGGCGGATTGCTCAAGGTCAGGAGTTCAAAACCAGCCTGAGCAAGAGCGAGACCCCGTCTCTACTATAAATAGAAAGAAATTAATTGGCCAACTGATATATATAGAAAAAATTAGCTGGGCATGGTGGCGCATGCCTGTAGTCCCAGCTACTCGGGAGGCTGAGGCAGGAGGATCGCTTGAGCCCAGGAGTTTGAGGTTGCTGTGAGCTACGCTGACGCCACGGCACTCACTCTAGCCTGGGCAACAAAGTGAGACTCTGTCTCAAAAAAAAAAAAAAACCCTGTGCTCCACCTATTCAACCTTCCCTACCTCACCCATACTGAATCTTTGCCAATTACTGATCTTTTTATTGTCCCTATAGATTTCTTTTTCTAGAATGTCATAAAATTGAAATCATACGATGTGTAGCCTTTGTAGACTGGCTTCTTTCATTTAGCAATATGCATTTAGGATTCAACCATGTCTTTTCATGGCTTGATAGCTCATTTTTTAAAATCATTGAATAATATCCCATGGCATGGATGTACCAGTGTGTTATTCATTCACCTACTGAAGGACATCTTCGTTGTTTCTAATTGTTAGCAACTATGAATAAAGCTACTATAAGCATTCATGTGCAGTTTTTTTGTATGAATATTTAGTCTTCACATCAGTTAGTTTTCACATCAAATACTAGTAGTGCTATTGGTGAATGATATAAGACCGCATGTAGCTTTGTGAAAAACTGCAGAACTAGCTGTACCACCATTACAATTTTAAAATAATTTAAAAATATTTAAAGCAACAACTACTTTATGCAGTTAGCATTGTTCCCATTTTACAAATGAGGAAGAGAGGCATAACAAGATAAAGTGGCTTGTACAAAGGTTGGAAGTAAACCAAGTGTGTATACCTGCAGAGAATGGGCTTCTCACCATAATGCTAACAGAGGCTTGGCTATTACACAAAGCATTCAGTGCGGGGACAGCTCTAATGGTTTAAAATCTCTTCCCTTCATAGAACTAAAATCTGCCTGGCACTGTCCTAGAGTCACACAACAGTCTTTCATAAGACGAGGAAGCAAGTGCTGCATGCCTGGGCCTGTCCACCTTTCATTAGGCAGTGGAGCATGATTTCAGCAGAGGACTGGGACGGGAGCCAGATTGCTTGGTGAAAATCCATTCTGCTTTACTTAGAAGCTGAATGACCTTGGGCGGATACCTTCACTTCCTAAGCTTGCATTTCCTCCCTTGGGAAATGTGGTACCTACATGATCTCTATTTTGAACTCCAAACCTGAAAGGACCACTGCTTTCCTGGACACTTCCACCTGTGTCTTCTACTGACCCCTCAACATTAATGTGAGCAAGACAGGGTTCACCTTCTTTCCACAAACACGGTCCCTCTTGTGCAGGACCAGCTAACGTGATTTGTGAGACAGTGTGAAATGAGTGCACAGCCCTGGGCAACATGCCCTTGGCACTGGCCCTGCTCTCGTAGTCCCTTCATGAGCCAGTCATGTTGCTCGAGCCTCCCACCCAGCCACACCGCCCATGCTCCAGTCATAAAGACTTCTTTGACTTCTCAGAGTTCTCTGAATCCCCAGAACTTCTGTTTCTGACCTGGGTGCTCTCTCCTGTCCCTCTCTGCCAGATCCACTCCTTTTGTCTTCAGATCCTCTCTGAAACTCTTCTCCATCTTCTGCTGTGAACACCACATGTCCCTGGTTTCTCTCACATTTCTCTGGCAAGTTCCTTCAAAGTCTTTGCTAGTTCACCCTGCCATACCCCGACTTTCATTTCATTTCTAGTTGTGGAATTGCTGGATTTTTATTTTAACTTTAAAGCAGACAATAAAATTCACATTGTTCAATACAAGCATCTGCCAGTTCTTAAGGTCTGTCTCTACCTCTTAAGGGTGAGTTTGCTGACCATGACGTTGGGCCAGGTCACATTTACAAGGGCTTTTGAGGCCATCTTCAAATAGAATTTGGAGGCCCAAAGGAAGAAAACATCAAAAAACTTTAAAATTGCATCTACTTCCCAGACCACCTTAGTATTTGCATAAATCCTGTAATTATCCTTTAAGGAACAAAATATGGGATTTCTGTGTACAAATTAAAAGCTCGAATGTGTTAAATGTACATTTAAAATATACCAGAGTTCTGTAACTCTAGCTTTTCGTCACTTTTCAATCCACCATTAAGGATCAGAAAACGTAAGAGGTCCCTCAGGTCTCTGTGAGGAAAAAAGTCTGCCTTGGCCCTATTTTATCCCCATAAGAGCGAATGAACCAAAAAAGGTGAAGGCGGCGGAGAACCAAGTGCAGCCTCACCCGGCGCCCACGGCTGCCACTTCTCAGTGATCCAGCCACTTTCCCACGACGCCAAGCAACCGTTACCTTGACAACGTGATTTCCTCAGGCACCACGGAAGGTGGCGCCCCTCTGCATCCCAGAAGGCACTGCGCCGTCTCTAAGCCTTCCACTCCTCTCCATCCCGACATGCAACGGGGCTCACATTGTCAGGCAATCGTCAACAGGGTGATTACAGAAATGCCTGTATATCCATATTGTTTAAACATTTAAACTGTGCGTAACATATTGGCGTGTGGAAAAAAATATAGAAAGAGAAGTTAATTTTTTTAGAGTTGTAAATCTAGAAGAGGAATACCTCTTTTCCCTCGACTTGCACAGGCATATCATTGGGCAGCTCGCGCAAACCGGCGGCGTGGGGCCCTTAGGGCCCTTGTCAAGGCCCACGAGGGAGGAAGTGGCGCTGTCGGTGCTTCGCTGGTAGGCTTTTCGGCGTGGAGCCATGGGAGGCCTTGAGAAGAAGAAGGTAAGTGGAAGAGACGCTGGGGCTTCTCGGAAGGTGGGGATGACGGAGCCTGGGATCGGCTCTTCCCTGGCCTTGGCCGCTTGTGGGGACAGAAACTACGGGATCAAAGCGACAGGAGTCAGCCGCGAGCAGTCCGAGAAATGGGCAAGGGCAGCAGCACTCGTCCAGTGAAATCCGGGAAAGAACTCTGGAGTTCTTTCTATGGAAAGAACTGTGACGGAGAGTTGAGCTTAGGAAGCATAGCCTCATCCCTAAAGCAGGCAGAACTATGAGACAGCTGTTTACCTAAAGGATGGTGAACATTAGGTAAAGTTCACAACTGCAGCACCATCACGTTGTTGTCTTGGAAGTTCTCTTCGAGGCATAACATGGTAGAGCTTAGCAAGCAAGCCTGGCAGGGGAAAAAAAGTGCCAAGACCTAATAGATAGGATAAGTTTGCTGTGTGAAAGGAATTGGAAGGACATCAGGATGACTGGGGTGTAGTAAACCAAAGGAGGAATGGCATCGGATGAGTTTGGGGTTGGGCAGGGACTGAATCATGCAGGCCCTGGAAGCCGTGGTGAGGAGCTTGGATGTTATTCTAAGTGCCAAAGGAATCAGTCAAATGGAGAGTAACATGGCCAGCGTTTTTCGGGGAGTTGTTCACCTTGGTGGCACGAAAAAAGATTGGGGGAGGGTTAGGGATGAGAAAGATGTAGTTGGCTCAGGTGTTTTAGCTTGAAAGGTTCTGTTGCTGATTTGTTTCTAACCCAGTACACTGTTGACTATCAGTGCTAGCCATTGGAGCTACAAAGGTATAACATGGAAAGTCTGCCCTTGAGGTGCAGATGCATATATATCGACAAATCATTACAGTTTTTAAAAGCTAGGTTTCTGAGCCATTGCTGTTTGGGCTAGAATATTCTTTGTTGTGAGAAGGGCTGTCCTGTGCATTGTAGGAGATTTAGCAACGTCTCTGACTCTCTATCCACTGAATGCCAGTAGCACCCAACAACCAGAAATGTCTCTGGATACTGCTGAATTCTCTCCCTGCATATACCAGGAAGTAAAATCACCTCATTCTGAACCACTTATCCCCCTACCATTTAAAAGAATAAGTAAGCATGATGACAGAGATATGTGTGCCATGCAGCAATGGAAAACACTTTTAATAAAAACTCAACTTCTTGAGGCAGTCTGAAACTCCTCTGTGTGTCTCCAGGACTTAGCCTGGGTTATATCCCCAGTAGATAATTAGTGAATGTCTGAAGGAAAGAATGAGTGAAGTGTATGTTTCATGACTGTTAAGTTACTTGTAAACATATCTTTCAGGAGGCTACAGATTTGTCTCTTTACAGCTGGACCTAGCCAAAGAGGTCCTTGCTATATTACTCCAAAGGAAGATCTCATTTGGAAAGGACATGCTTGGTTAGCATTGTAGGTTGTTGGGTACAGTGCATTGCTAGTCTCTTGTGAGCAGATATGTGAACATGAGGCAGCATCTTAGCATCACAGGCATCCAGGTGATTGCACAAGACAATATGCTTCTTGGGGACAGGTAGAGACCAAGCCTTTTGTCTTTATTGCCTGGGGTACCATCTAGCTTAATTACTTTGAGCATGGTAAGGGACCTATTATTATCTGTTGAATAACTGTGTGGGGAAGGAGAGAAGCTGTGTGGCTTAGAACGTGTGTTTTCAACCAGGGTGATAGTACCCACAAAGGAACAAAATTGGTTGGGTGGGGTATCTCCGATATTACAATGGCTTGTCCCTTACTCCCCAAAAGACCACATTGTATAAACAGATAACTGTGGTTACTATTTCATGGGGCTTAAATGAAATGCTGTTATGGGGATTAAATGAAATAATACTAATTGTAATGGCCAATACTTAGAGCTAGTACTAAGTGCTTGGCATGGCACCCTATCTAGAGCAACCTCACAGTCTCCAGCATCATATAGATGTATGTGTTCCTTATGCTGACAACTATAAGGACAGTGCAGGAGAGCTCATTCAGGGAGGTTGGCTCCCTCCCTACAGCATTTCCTATCCCAGAAGCATCTCTGCCACTTATCCAGAGTGAGAGTTGCCTCTGGACTTAGGCATGTCTAGAGTTTGATATTAGTCACTGCAATCATTGCTCATAGAGAATTTTTTTTTTCTCCCAAAGTACGAGCGTGGCTCTGCCACCAACTACATCACCCGAAACAAAGCCCGGAAGAAGCTGCAGCTGAGCTTGGCTGACTTCAGGTGGGGTTGGAGAGGGGTGGAATGTGGGGGGACCTCAGGGAGCCTGGGCATTGAATTGCACAGTGAGAACCCAGCTGTATCCCTGTCTTACCTGAGCTTCCATACCTTGTCTGGAATTCTGGTATTCCTTCTCCTCCTCACCTTCCCTTGCTTTAGTGAGCTATGCTCTGCCAGCTGTGGTCCGAAAGGAAGCTGGAGGAGAACTGGGTCATCATAATGGGCCAGCTGGGTTGTCCTGGGTCTTTGTCACCCATCCCCTCTCTTCTAGCAGAGGAGATCCCTGATCCTATAGCTAGAGAAGTCAAATCCAGACTTCTGTGTGGCCTTTGGGCCCTGCCATCTGGCCGACCCTGACCTTTTCAGATCACCTGGGCCATTTTTAGTCCTTCAGACATTCCCAGCTCTTTCCAATCTTGTGGTCTTTGTCCCCCTTCTTATAATATTCTTCCCTTTCCCTTTTATGTGACTGAAATGTTGATTTATCAACAAGGCCTTTCCTGACTCCCCTATAGCTATTAACAAAAGGGGTACCTGCCTCTCAGCCCCTCTGAATGTCTTATTTGCTTCCTTACTGGTGCTTGTGACAGTCTACATCTTTGTGTGTATTGGGGAACTTGTCATCATCAGACTCCTACAGTAGGATGTGAGCTCTCTAAGTACAGGGGCCCTGCATTCCCTGTTCACTGTTGGTTTCTGGCCCAGCTGTGGCCAGCATTCTGTACTTTACTGACATGACAAATGGCTTCTGTCTTCTAGGCGGCTGTGCATCCTAAAGGGCATTTATCCCCATGAACCCAAACACAAGAAGAAGGTTAACAAGGGCTCCACTGCAGCCCGAACTTTTTACCTTATCAAAGACATCAAGTTTCTGCTCCATGAACCCATTGTCAACAAGTTCCGGGAATACAAGGTGAGGCCTGGTCTCTAGGGTCTGATGGGTACCCCTCACAGCTCTGTGACCCTGGGCAGGTTGCTTACCCTCTCTGATCAAACCTATACTAGGAGGGAGTACCTCAAAGGGATGTTTTGAGGATTATCTGAGATTATGTATAGTAGGCATACCTTGCTTTATTGTGCCTTATTCTGTTGTGCTTTGCAGATATTGTGCTTTTTACAGATTGAAGGTTCGTGGCAACCCTGTGTTGAATAGGTCTTTCAATGCCATTTTTCCAACAGCGTGTCCTCACTTTGTGTTTCTGTGTCATTATTTTATATGTTATGGTGATCAGGGATCTTTGATGTTGCTATTGTAATTGTTTTGGGGCACCACACCATGCCCATGTAAGACAGTAAACTTAATTGATAAATGTGTGTATTCTGACTGCTCCACTTTGGCTGTTGTCCTGTCTTTCTCCCTCACCTTGGGCCTCCGTATTCCCTGAGACACAACAATATTTAAATTAGGTCAATTAATAATCCTACAATGGCCTATAAGTGTTCATGTGAAAGAGTTGTATATTTCTCACTTTTTTAATAAATCAAAAGCTATACAAGATTAAACTTAGAGATGAAGGCATGCTGAAAGCCAAGATAGGCTGAAAGCTAGGCCTTTGGGGTCAAAGAGTTAGTCAACTTCTGAATGCAGAGGGAAAGTTCTTGAATGAAATTAATAGTGCTCCGCAGTGAGCACAAATGATAAGAAAGTAAAACAGCCAGAGTTAACCAGATCTAGCTAAGATAATTGATGAAAATAGCTACACTAAACAACAGATTTTCAGTGTAGATGAAACAGCCTTCTATGGGAAGAAAATGCCATCTAGGACTTTCGTAGCTAGAGAGAAGTCAATGCCTGGCTTCAAAACTTCATAGGATAGGCTGGACTCTTTTCTTAGGGGCTAATGCAGCTGGTGACTTTAAGTTGGAGCCAGTGCCCATTTACCATTCTGAAAATCCCAGGACCCTTAAGGATTATGCTAAATCTACTTTGCCTATGTTCTAGAAATGGAACAACAAAGCCTGAATGACAGCACATCTGTTTACAGCATGGCTTACTGTATATTTTAAGCCCATTGTTGAGACCTGCTGCTCAGAAAAAAGGATTCCTTTCGAAATATTACTGCTCAGTGACAATGCACCTGGTCACCCAAAAGCTCTGGTGGAGAATGTACAAGATGATTAATGCTGTATTCCTGCCCGCTAACATAGTATCTATTATATTCTGCAGCCCATAGATCAAGGAGTCATTTTGACTTTTAAGTCATCTTATTTAAGAAATATATTTTGTAAGGCTATAGCTGCCATTGATAGTGATTCCTCTCATAGATCTGGGCAAAGTAAATTGAAAACCTGGAAAGGATTCACTATTATAGATGTCATTA